CAAAAAACGGAAAGAACTTTTGTACCGGACTAATATAATACATGCATCGAATCCATAATCATAAACATCAGATCGATACGCAAGATTAGCGCTTATACAGAGTGTCCCAAAAGTTCGTATACACTATGGCAATAGCTGATTCTTTTAATCCAATAAATCTTTTGCCTACAAGTACCATTTTGTAAAGCTGGCTTTAATTTAGACTTAAAATCCAGAGCGAATCACCAATCATTGTTTATTACTGTAGGGTTACGTAGAAACTTATAGTATACACCCTCATTGTGCATTTGTCGTTTTTCAAAACATTTTCCAAAAAAATCTAAAAAGTGGTGTATGAGGGTTTTCTCTGAATTCGTTGCTTAATTTTCTAGGAGGTTGTGAAGCTTTTTGAGTGTAATCACAATTTTTGGGAACACTGTAAAGACAGCTATGGCTGGCGTAGCTTATGAATTAAGCTTTGCGGTAAGGTGCAAAGGTCATTTTCACTTTTAGCGACTCTAATTAGCCCCAGTGTAAGCTCTCAGGTTTCTTGGTTTGGGCGAAACGGTCCCCAATGGCTCAAAATCCTTCTTGAAGTTCCTCATAGTTGAACAGTGAGAAAGATCGACCGGTGAGGTGTTCTATACTGCAAATCCAACTTGAAGGCCAGCCCTACAAAACTTTACCTAAAGATAAGTAAAAGTATTCTTGGAAAGGCACTTATTAGCGTTCAAACAGCGTATACCGTCTGACTCAACCGGATAGGCGGCTGCAGGGCTGGGTTCGATCGATTAGGAGCACGGATCGCATGCTTACGCGCTCTCTAATCGATCGAAGCTCCGCCCCCAGGCGCCTATCTGGTTGAATCAGAGGTTACATACTTTTGGGACACCCTGCAGACCTTATATTACGTAAGGCCTTTCAAATACCGGTAAAAGTTTGTTTACTAGCAGAAATCCGAAAATTGTCTATTTGTACAACTCATTAGGACATAAGAAGCTTTTGTCATGCAGATAAAAGAACTGGTGAATCTAGAGGTCAACAGTTTATCCGGGCAGCATAGTGTGCAATTCTTTATTGTATAAGCAAAGTTACCATCAAAATGCATTAGTTACGAGCGATGCCAGGTTCGAAGATGATGGTGCAATTTTCGCTTAGAGGAGAACCAGCAATTAGGATGGAGTATGCCATATGTTCCTTCACAACCTCTTTTCCTCGCTAAGGCACTTATCTGACTCCATTTTCAGTTTCAAGACCGTCTTGCTTACATAGATAAGCGTTATGATCATCTTCGGAAGCTCACGCAAACGCTTAAGAGGAAGATAAATGATTTAGAGGTGAGCATCACGATGTGCATAGACATTTCCTGACAGTTGCAACAATTTCAGGACATCATGCGGCAAGAAAATGACGACCGAAATGCGGAACAAATCCAACAGCTTATTGAAGACATAAAAAGGGAGAAGCAGATGATACGCGATGAAGCTCACATTATTCGAGGCGAACTTACTCAGGCTATGTATAATGAAGATCTGAGGTATGTTTGTCTTAAAGACTGTAGGTTGCAGTAGAATGAGCACTTTACCGAGCACATCTACGAAGCTGAGTTTGCCTTCTTTAGACTAGGCACTGTATCTCAGTCATACTGCAAAGCGCAGTTCGTTTATACGGCATCCCCTTGTATAGTCATGGATTACATCTACAAGGGGAATAACAGTCAGAAAGAGTGTGAAAGCACTATCACAACAGAATCTCATGGTCTTCGTTTGAAAAGCTAGATAAAAGCAAAATGCTTGAGCAAAAGTGGAGTAACACCTTTATTGCATCAGAGGCTTTGAAACCACACCTTCGATACATAGAGCCACGTCCTCTGGTAACCTTC